TTTCGAAACAAGGTCTTGCTGAGTTGTTTAGGACCTCAGTAAGTTGCTGAGGCTGGCTTTGAACTTGAGCTCCTCCTGCCTCGGCCTCCCCAATAACTGAGATTACAGGAATGTGCCACTGCACCTRGCTGGAAATTCTCTGATTTTTGAAACATCATTCCTGCGTTAATTTTAATCCATGTTTCTTCACTCTCRGATTCATACACTTTAAAATTTTTTTCTTCTCTTGGTTCTTATAAAACACATTGTGGTAAAACACATGCCACATAAAATTTATAATTGAAACCAGTTTTAGGAGTAGAAGTCAGTGACATTAGGAACATTTGACTGCTGGGTGCAGTGGCACACACCAGTAATCCCAGCAGCCTGGGAGGCTGAGGCAGGAGGATGGCAAGTTGGAGGCCAGGCTTAGAAACTCAGYGAGGCCACAAGTAACTCAGGAAGACCCTGTGTCTAAATAAGATATAAGCACCCATGGGTACAATCCCTGGGACAAAATTAGAAAACAAAATTCACAGTGTTGTACAATGATCACCCTCCATATCCAGAAATTTTTCAACTTTTTCAAATGAAATTCTATACCCATTGAATGTTAACTCCCATTCCTCTTCCCCAGCCATTAGTAACCATCCTTCTACTTCCTGTGWGTGAGTCTGACTACTTTGATTACCTCATCCACAAATCATACAGCGTTTGTGTCTTGTGTCTGGCTTATTTCCCTTAGCGCAGTATCTTCCTGATTCATCCATGTTGTAGCATCTGTCAGAAGACAGGCCCAGTGAAGCTCCACATTATGTACAACCACAAAAATGAGATCCTAATTCAGAGAGGTTATGCTGCATGACTGTATTTATATATAAAAAGAACAAATAAAAATTTTAAAAAAGAATTTCTTTCCCTTTTTAAGACTGAACAGTATCCATTGTAAAAAAAAAAAAATAGAGCACATTTTGTTCATCCATGCAAGCATTAGTGGACAACCTGAGTGGCCTCTACCTTGACTGTCGTCGATAATCTGACAGTGAACATAAGCATATAGGTTTGTTTGAGTCCCTACTTTCAGTTATTTTAGGTACCTTGCTAGAAATGGAATTGCTGACTTATAAGGTCTTTGTGTTTTCAATGTCTTGGAGAACACTGTTTTACATTCCTACCAACAGTGCACCGGGTTCTGATTTTGCCACATCTTCTTTAACACTTGTTAGTTTGTGTGTGTGTGTGTGTGTGTGTGGTTTTCTTAAAGCAATAGTTATCATGATAGATGAGGTGGTATGTCATCGTGGTCTGATTTGCATTTCCATAAAGATTAGGGAGGTTGAATAGTATGTGCTCATTTCCCATTGGTGTATTTTCTTTGGAGAAATATCTATGCAAGTGCTTTGTTCAAGTGCTCCGTTTTAAGTGGTGTTTAAGGTTTTTTGTTACTAAGCTTTAGAAGTTCTCTGTATCATATAGGGTGTGATCCTTTAGCTATGTCATTGTAAACCATCTGTGAAGTTGCTTGGCTGATTTTTTACTTAGTCGATAGTRTCCTTTGCTGCACCAAACCTTTTGTGTTTTGTGAGATCAAATTTGTCTGTTTTCTCTTCTGTTYCTTGTGCCTTTGATGTTATGTCCAAATCCAGTATCTTTGCCCTGTGTCTTTTTTTATTTTTCATTATTTATTTATTTATTTTTTT